TTTTTTTTTTGTATCATTGACACTTATAAATTTACAGGTGATCATATATTGTGTTACATTATATTTCTGGAAAATTTAAGGGGTAGTTATATAATAATTTTAGATGATCTCAGGCAATTGGATACTTATGACTGCTACTATAAACTTAAGCATACTCTTGAAATTATTTTTAAGGTATTTATTCATCGTTTGGAACAGGAGCTACAACAATGCTGGGAGGATAAAGGATTATTAGAATATAATCGAGATCGAATCTTTGATAGATATTACAATAAAACTAAGGATCGAAAGGCAAGTCATATCAAGTGGAAAAATAGGGAGCACAATTCACAGCAATTAATTTTAAATTTACAAGCCCAAATTTTATTACTATAGAATAATATACCGCAGAATCATAATAACAATCGAACAGGTATGGTGGGTTACGAATTAAAAAAATTCAATGGGTATTCTACTGAAGATTCTGAAGAACATATTGAAGAATTTAGATTGTGGCTTACAGGTTCTGGAATAGATGTAGGTGCTGGCTATGCTAATAGAATTAATGCTCATAGTGTTTTTAGAGCGTTTCTCAAAGGGGATGCTAAAGATTGGTATGAAAGAACCATCCATGAGAAAAATTGTGAATTGAGAAATTTACTTGATAATACAACGCAAGCAAATTTAGCTGGTGTTCAAGGAAGAAATGCTGGTCAAATTGGAGTACAGGCCTTAAATCGTACAAATGGGCAGAATAGTAATGTTATAATTCCAGCTCATACAGTATTTGATGAAGATTGGTCTTTTGCTGATGGATGACCAACTGATCGCTTACCTAATATATCCAATGTTAATACAGATAATACTATAGTTGTACCTGGTATTCGATTCGGACAAGTATTATACTGGTTTAAAACTAACTATCCTACAATTACCGCTGAAAAACAACGGGTACTTTTTAGTTCAACTGTTCAAGAAAGTATTCCAGTTGGCTATTTCTATTCTAACTTACATAGATTAGCTAAGCTTACGGATATTGATGAATAACAAATTCGATTGCAATTTCTTTGTGGACTTTCATCCACTAACCAGATGGAAGTTTGTCATTTAGAAATTGAAAAATCACCAGATGAATTGCTTCCGAAACTTGAAAAAATCGAAAGATATACAGCAGAATAATTATCTAAAGCTTATCTGCATTCAAACTCAGATTCGGTAGCCAGTAAAGGTCATGAAAAGAATAATTATTCAAGCAATATGGGTATGACTGAAAATGAAGTCAGAAACTTGGTAAAATCTATGATGATATCTGAGCAATCTCAATCCGTCTCACAAACTATCTCTTCTAAACCTCAGAGAAATCAATCTAATCAAATAACACTTTCACAAGATGATTTCAAAAAAATTATAGCAGGTTTGAAGGGAACTATCACTAAAGGACAGCAAACTTTGAAGAAACCCCCTGGACCAGAAAAACAAAAAGCTGATGATCTTGTTTTAGATCATCTTTTAGAAAATTTAATAGATGATCCAGGTTTACCTGAAGAGGACTATGACTATAACCCTGTTGAAGATTTGAGACTATAATTCGAGAAGTTAGATATCAATCAAGCAAAATTAGCTCGAATAATACATGCTGTTTTAAAATCTTCTCAATACAAATGTTCAAAGTGTGGTAAAACAGGTCATAATTCTCACAATTGCCCTAAAAATAAAAAGAAGAGCAAGTCTAGATGTTCTAATAAAAGCAGATCTAAGAAAAAAGGTAGGGTTAATCTTACTACTAGTAAAGATTCAGATTCTGAGTCTGACGCTAGCTCTTCTGATAATGAATCTAATTCTGACTCTGACTCTGGTTATGATTCTGAATCGGAATCTGATTCTGTGAATGACTTAACTGAGACTAAAATCGTGAAAATTATCAATGCTATTAAATCAAAAAAAAGTAAAGCAGAAGGGTAAATCGGATAAATCATTATCTAAAAGTCTAGTTCAAAGAAACGTTCTTCACAAAAAATGCAAAAGAAATCAGGTACAATTATCAACTCATAAATTCGAAAAATTATTCTAGCTATGTTTAACGATCCAGAGGTTATAGAAACAATTAAAAACAATATTAATAATACGAATTTATTTATTGCAAAACCTGACTTTATAAATTATTAAAAGCTGATCTCAGAAATAATCGAATTAGATGATGAAGAGGAGACGCTGAACGATCCTATGGAGATTGATTTTGTCTATCAGAAAAAACTGGTAATTAGTATTGCAACTATACCAATTAAAATTAAACGCTTAAAAATTCTAGCATTGGTACTTGATAGTATGGCTGAACCTGCAATTGTATTAGAAGATATTATTAAATGCGTAAGCAAGAAAATAGATAAATTGGAAAAATATGATTTCAGTGGTGTTGCTACTGTTCTAACGGAATCTATTGGCATCACTCATAATTTACCAATAATATTTCCTCCAGATTTTACCATACGTGAAGATTTTATAGTTATTCAAGTTCTCAAACTGACATTAATATTCCCAAATCTGCTTCTCAAAAAATATAAATGTGCTGTAGATTGGGATAATGATAAAATGAAGATTCATTATAAAGGAGAAGATTTTATTATTCCGGTTACTATGCACAAAGTCAAGAATAAACTTGAAGTAAATTATGCTACCACATCTCAGAATGATAGGCCTTTGGTATTTAATCAAATTTCTCAAGAGGTGAAAAGTAATAAGAGTGATAATGATCCATTAAAGAAATGGCATGTTCCTGCGAGTTTCAGCCCAGATTCTGATGATTCAACTTTAAAAAAAAATGCGTGAATTGTGAAAGGGCTATCAAAATCATTACCGAGCTTAATATTTGTAACAGATTTTTACTATCAAAATATGAAACTATGAATAAAGAGAAAACTAATTAAGAATTGCTGAAGGTAGTCACTTTGTAAGTATTTAATATATAATCTGAACATTCTATTTGTTTCTCTCCCTCATTTAACATTTATTCAAGTGGGTATCAATAATAGTAGTTGGATTAGAAATTCAAACAGATTTGGACTTCGATCACCTCTTTTTTGTCTGTTTATCTGAGTTATTGTCTGAAGTATGTAGGCTCGAAGAGCCATTGTTTTGCAATAAAGATATATAGTTATTTTCTAATTGTTCATTTAGAGACATTGATATTATTTCAGAAGAAATTGCACTTTGTATCTGAGATGAATGAGAGTATATCATTTGTTGTTTACACTCCTGATTTTCAATATATTCTTTGACCTGAATATAGGATATACAATGTTTTTTTGCTATGGTATTAATAGCATCAGATACTCTACCGAATAATGTTTTAATTTTTTTGATCGTTTCATCTGATAAAAATCTTGCATTAGTGCTATAATATTCTTTATGAATATGATCCATATCAGAATATTTTTATTTATGAATTATTAAAAAAATAAAAAAAAATTTTGAAACATTTTACTATAACTTGATATATATTGATATGTTTCGAAATGTTTCGAAATATTTGTATATGTTTCAGAATATTTAAAAATTTTTTAATATATATAAACATTTGTACTAATTATTTACCATATTTGTAAATTTCCATATAATATAAATATGTGTACGTAATATGTGATACTTTCTAGTTAAAATCAATATTGCATCTTGTATACCTCTACTATTTATTATCTCACAAATTACTTTAGGTGGAAGGTATGTTTTATTTAATCAAAATCTTTTAGACATTTTCTAATAATCAGAAATTTTATGATTTATCTTATTTTTATTACACATAGTTTAACCAAAATATATGGCCAATGCGCAAGATAAAGAATCTTGTGTTGTAAAAGTTATATCTGGGTTAAATTCTCGTAATAAAAAATTACAAGACAGGTATATAAAGCAGAAGCGAAATTTTGATCATGAACAAAGAAGTTGGGAACAGGAGAGAAAAAAATGGAGTCAGAAACTAGCTGGGTCCAATGCTATGATTCAGAAATTACGTATTCATAATCTTGAACTTATTGATGAAGCTAGGCGTTTACAGATCAAAAACGCTAATAAAGACATTTCTATTGGCTGAGAATGTTACGAAATCTAAGAAAATTAAATCACTCAAGTCTATGATCAAGATATTGGAAGATAAGTTGTCTTCAGCCTAGAAAGATGTAATTTCAATTCAAAGCGACTCATCGAAAAAAGAAATTGAGATTGTGACTCTCAAATCCAAAATAGCTGAAGTAGAACATAAGTTAGCTTCGAAAGTCAGTGAACTTGAGTGTCTGAAATCGGAGGCTATATCAAACCCCGTACTTGGTGAAAATGATGAAAAAAATATGACCAAGCCTGATGATATATTTGCAGTATTGCAAAGCAGGCCATTAGGTGATTCTCTGAATTATGACACTTACGTATCTAATAAATCTAGCAAAAATCTAAGTAAGTATTTTGTACATGAAAAAAGTATGGATCAAACTGAAAAAATTGATAATGATATCTCGACATACTAATGATAAGATTATCGAACTATCAAAAAATGATACCGAGACCAACTCTAAGATAAGTAATGAAACTAGCATTAGCGAAATTAGTAAAAATATATTATCAGTTCAAGAGATACAGAACGTGACCCCCTATCTTGCACAGCGGAAAAATCACAATTCCTCTTTGATTGAATCACATTCTTAGATTCCAATAGGAAGGATAGGAGCAATTCTCATCGTGTCAAGCACTTTGATGTCACCGCTATTGGCATATATTTTTCTTATCTTTTTAATTATTGCAGTTATGTAGTTTGTTATATTGAGATGTACATAGGGATTTGAGAGGAAAAATGATCAGTTACGGGATGCGTGAACTAGGTATTAGAAAATATCTATTTAAACTTGGGTATTTTTTATATACGAAAAAATTTAATTCTATTGTATATGTATCTTAGTAGATTGTGATGATCTTAGCTAAGAATACTTAACAATATAGGTCAATGATATCATCGATGTCTGATGGGACATCTTTTTTACTACCATATGTGATTGATAATGCTTGAAGCCAGATAATTTCAAGACCAATCATCCTATGCCATATATTCTGGAAATCTATTAATTCTCAACACTCTGATTCCAAATCATATAGAAGTATATATTGTTTCAGAATTATAATTTTGGGTTTGCGTTTTTGCGCTTGCGTAATTAAATCATATATTGCATTTCTATATTCTATATTAAGCTTAGACAATTTTGAAAGTAGATTCAATAATTTCGAACGAATAGAATCTACAATTTTATCTAATGCATTAAGATAACCATTATACCTAGTAGAGGCACCTGAAGGCCTAGTTATGTCAGTTTTGCTAATATCAGGTTATATTTTCTCGGCATGTGTAGTAGCATTTTTTCATAAATGGGAGATAATGGCTTCATCTTTTTTTGGTGCATCACACAAGTTCTTAATATAATTTTTAAGCCATTTTTTAGCTAACTTCTGTGACTCTTCATCTTTAATTTTCGCTATTTCATCTTCATCTAGACTCAGAGAGTCATTGCTCTGCAATAAATCCTTAGCAATTTTTAATTTCTTCTTCTTGGATTTCTTTTTGCGATCCAAAACTTTTAAGAGGGATTCAGGCAATGGTTGATATTTATCATCATAATTTATAAAACGGGCACAGAGATCAAATAGACTTTCGATATAATAATCAATATTATTTTCTTGTTGAACTTTTTTACCACATCTGGGTATTCTATACAGTCTTCTTTTTGTTGTAGTATTTTTTTCCCGCAGTTATCATAAATCTCTTCAGGTACTACTACAATGTAACTAAATCGTTCATCGGGTTTAGGGACTTTATATAGGTATTTGTTAGCGGGTAAACCCTTCTTTATAAGCTGTTAATTTTCTAATACTTCACGAGAATACTTAGCCTCCATTCGCAAAATAAACTGTTCTACAAAAATATTTCTCTGCTTACCTTCCTTTTTAGGCCTCCATATACATATCTGAATAAATTCATCATAATCTAACTTGGAAAGTTTTTCCACATTTTCTCAAAGAACTTTTTCAACAATCTGGTGTATTGTCTCCTCATTACTGACTTTTAAAGTTCTATTCATAATTTCCTTACCTATATCACGAAAGAGCTTAGATTAGCCTCTTTTTATAATATCTACCCTTTAATAAAAAGCTTACCCGGATTGAAATTTGGCTCCTTTTTATGCTCAAGACCATAATATTTTTTCTTTCCTGTAAATACCACAGGAAATAAGACCTCTTCATATGCCATATTAAGGTAAGGTATTCTATTGTCTTTTCAAGTTCAGTATTTACTTCATTACAGAGGTTTGCCATCACTTTCATAGATATTTTTACTATTTCCTTCTAGTACTCTTCTTGTGAGAGTTGATCTAATTTATATTTTTGATCACATTCCTAGAAACACTCTTCTGGATATGTGAGATATAAAGAATCAGTATCTCCATATTTAACACTGAACCCTTTGTCTTCAACAAAATTTCTAACAAATTTAATATTACGTTACCCAGCAGAAGTAACTCTACTTGCTAACTGAAGTTGATAGAATGGAGAGAGATTGTTACCTGCCTCACCATAAAATGTATTCATATATAATTTTACTGCCTTTTGTTTTGATCTAAGCAACTATATTCGAAACTTTTATCATCTAATCCATTAAGGATTTTTTTCATCTTCTTTTGTTTATTAAATAAATTTTCCAACACTCTAGCATATAAACCCTTTTCTTCAGATATATTATTATGGCGAATAGACCAAGCTTCTATAGTTTGACCATTGAATAGAAACTTAATCATGTGGATTTTTTCCACTATAAATTACATTTATTACTTTTTCATGGGATAGTATGATTTTATCTGGTGAAAGGTTGTATATCATTATAAGACTTAGGTATAGGGAGGCAAAATCTAAACCTGTTACTGGACGTTTGTTTTTCAGATCTTTTATCGGTGAAATAACATAAGCTCCTGGATATTTACCAGATTCTGTATTTTCTGAAGCAATCATACTATACAACATATTACTGCTTCAAGCTTCAGCTCCTAAAAGATTATATACTTTCATACCTCCCGCAAAATAATGAGAATCAGAAAAAGACACATATGCAATGGATGATACTTCCCTATAGTTATTAATTACATTATGCTTAACCATAAGCTCTTGGCATTGCTGTGTATCTATAACACAATAATTTGCAACTTTACACATATTTTTAGCTGATGTATCAAAGGAGTGAAGTATTGCATCTTCATATATTTTGTTCATAGTAGTTATTGGCATATCCGCCTTGCTATCCAATCCACATTTTTCCAAATAATATTTCAGTGAATTTGCTTCTGATTTTAAGTATAACTTTTTGAAACAAGCACAAACATCAATAGGTATACACCCTGGGATTTTGAAATACTTCGAATAAAATTTTTCATCATCTATCTTTATCTCACTTCTTCGATATTTCCATTTTATAATTTTTTTAATGTTGGATGAGTCGGGTGACATGTGATTAAACATCCATTCAAGGATACCTAAATTTTTGGCTTTTTCTATAATGAAAGACCAGTCATACTGTGAATCATTAAATCTGATTTGTATATCTGGAGCTAAATATTTCCAACATAACGCAAATGCCTTCAATAAGTTGGTCTGATTTTCACATATTATTGTAATCCATCTGGGATCTGGTTCTGTCTCTACATCAACTAAACATATTTGCAACAGTGGATTGGAATCATCTTTCCAATAAACTGTCATACAAATCATAAATACTTGATCCTCTTCATTTCTTGCATCAAGTAAATCTCCCATTTTCCGTCCACTATATGTTTCTATATCCCAGGCGAAAACAAGAGTTCTGTCATATGAGAGAACTTTGGAAATTATTAGATCATCTGATTTATTATCCTCTAAAGACCGATAATTATCTACAGATACACAAAATGAATATGAATAATGTGGTAAATTTGTATCAGAAATACAATGATAATCATTTAATATTGTCCACTCGGAAAGAGGTAACTTCTTTTCACGAGCTATTTTTCAATAATAATGCACATTGGTAATATCATCTGATGCTGTTTCAATGCCATACTTACGTACCTCTTTTAAAATTCATGTTCTATTATAATGATTCTACGTAGTGATATAAATGTATGCCTTTTTCTCAGTATGGTAACCACAAATTGGGTACGCGTTGATGTCTTTCATTCTAAACTTCGATTTATCAATCTTTTCCGCTCCTGAAATAATTTTTACTAATCTTGGTTTAAATATAGATAAAGGTTCATTATCAGGTATAAGGATATCAAAAAAGGTTTGATACCTATAATATCTACCCTAGCCTTTTGCCTATTAATCAAAATACCGTAAATACGTAGAATATATGTAGATACATTTTTTACGTACTCAGTAGCGTCATTCACATCATTAGACATGAAGTATATAGGCTGGTTATTGGATAAGCTTTGTTGAAGTATAGCCGTTAACCCATTACGAGTTAGAATTTTAGGTAAAGTTTTTCCGCTCCCGTACCGCTCGAGTTGTGCGCTTTGTTTACTCATTTTTCGTATTTGATTTTTTTATTGGTATGTATCAATCTTTATTCGATTATATTATTACAATATAGTTTGGAAAAGTTTAAATTAATTTTTTCATGCCTGGTACGCAGTAGTATCAAAAAAGTACATTGTTTTTATTTGAATACACAATAAAAAACATGAACTCAATAGATGAATAATTTTGGGTCCAAGTATAATAATCTGCAGTAATATATGTCAGAGACACTAACTTCGGCTATAATAAAAATGGCAGAAGACTACCCTTTTGTGATGTCATGTTTTTAGAGTAGCCAAGTGCGGTAATATATTATAAGAAAAATGGCAGAAGGCTACCTTTTCAATGATATGTTTTCGAGATGGTGTTTGGGTATATGTTTTCGATAATATATTTTGTGATATGTGATTGGGGTAGCCAAGTGCAGTAATATATTATAAGAAAAATGGCAGAAGGCTACTCTTTTGACGATGTGTTTCTGTATATATTTTTATGTATGTGATCATGATAGCTAACTTCAGTAATATATATAATAATTATGGGAGAAGGCTACCTATTTTAGTGATATGCTTCTGGATATGTTCTTATTTGAAACTGAAATTTAATAATAAACCTGTCACCAAAGTTGTTACTAAAGCTGTCACCAAATATTTTTCAGTGATAGATAGCATACCCACTAATATGTATATAGCATACTCAATAGCAATTACGCGATATATATTTGATAGCATAGGTATAGTATACCCGATAGCAGAAATATAACATACTCAATAGTAATTACACAACACATATTTGATAGCATATGTTTAGCATACTCGATAGCAATTACACGACATATATTTGATAGCATTTATGTAATGTACTCGATAGCATATACATGATAGCATTACTGATAGCATTTGCACAATATATTTCGTATACATATTTGATAACA